TTCAGTCAGCCGAACACTTCGACATTTCAACCTAGATTCAATTAGACTTTTCCGACTGGACCTGTAAACTTGCCAAGGCCAGTTTATCGTCCTCAGAGATTTCCGACGAATTCTCAGCACTCAAGTACGTCCCAATAAGCCACTGCAATTGTCGAAGGATGAATTGGAACGATTTCTAGGTATACTCATATGGATGTCACTTGTAAAGCAGCCAAATTCAAGGCGGTACTGGTCTCCTAACACCCGAATCGACCAAGTCGCTGATGTTATACCAGTTAACCGTTTTGAAGAAATAAAAAGATTCCTTCATTTCACTGACAACCAGAAGATTACCACAAGCACAGATAACATTACGCCGGTTTTCAACCAGATAAAATCAGCTTCTCAGAAGGAACCTTTAGAAGAAAATTTGTCGTATGACGAACAGATTGTTCCATTCAAGGGACGAATTTCTCTGAAAACCTACAATCCTAAAAAACCCATAAGTGGGGATATAAGATATGGGTTTGGTCTGGCGTAAGTGGTTTTACTTACAATTTGGAGTTGTTTTCACGTAAACAGGATATTGAAAGACTTCCGGACGAACCCGATCTTGGAGCCGCCAGCAATGTGATTGTACGTCTCTGTCGAATTGTACCAGAAAATTTGAACCACAAGATCTACTATCGCAGGAATAAATCTTGTAGTTTACCTAAAGAACAAAGGAATTGAAAGTGTTGGTACTGTGCGTCCAAATCGTCTACCAAGCTGTAGATTTCCTGATGAAAAACAAATTCAAAAAAAGGGCAGGGGCACCTATTTAGAAATTTCGTCGACAATCATGTAATAAGAGTATTCCAGTGGTACGATAACAAAGTTGTTTCCCTAATAAGCGTGGTACTAACCCTACAGTTATGATCCCCAGATTTTCAAGGCAGCAGAAGAAACAAATTGAAATTACTTGCCCAAATGTGGTACAAATTTACAATAAACATATGGGGGGAGTAGATCTTCAAGACTCTCTTTTAGGGCTATACCGATGTCACATCAGAAGCAAGAAATGGTATAATCGCCTTTTTTATCACATGCTTGATGTTGCTATCGTAAATTCGTGGCTCCTAGACAAATGTATAAAAAAACAATTGGGCAAGCAAGAACAAAATATATCGCTACTCGAGTTCAAGACCGAAATCGCTGCAGCAATGTGCAATGTTGGAAAAAATTCTAGAAAGCGAGGTAGACCAACATCCGTTCAAATTGCAGAGTCACCAAAGCAGAAGATGTAAGGAACCTACTCCAAGCACTGAGGTCAGGTATGATGATGTACAGCACTGGCCTCAATGGACGGAAAACCGTGAAAGATGCAAAAATCAAGGTTGTACGGGAAAAAGTCGAGTTTTATGTCTAAAATGTAAAGTCCATCTTTGTTTTTATGCAAAAAGTAATTGTTTGTAGAGTTTCATACAAATTAAAATAATTTCTTATTGTACTCCATACCCATAATGTTCCCAAGTGGGAACCAAATTTTGTAACCCTTTTTTTGATAAAATATGTTTGACACATTTTTTTTATATTTTATTTTGACCACCCAATGATATAACTCATTAGTAATATTTTTTTAGGGCAAAAGAAACATGTCAAATAAATCATGCAATAGAGGGTTAACGCCAGCAATGCTAGCCAACTATCCTACACTCTTTTTCCCGAATATGAAATTAAAATGTTGATCGATTCTGGATCAACTAAGTCATTTATTGATCCCAGTATTGCTCGTAGATTTTTTCCAAATTTAATCAGAGATGATCCATTTGTTGTATCAACTGTTTTTCAAAAATCCGCTCACAAATAAAGTGCATCCATCCCGGCATCGAAAATTTTCAATCTTCCTAATCGTATGGATTTGAAGTTTTACCTATTTAAATTTTACAATATTTTCGATGGATTGATTGGATTAGATAATCTAGAATTATTGAGAGCTGATATTAATTTAAGCAAAGGAACATTACATACGCCCTACGCCAAAATTAGACTAAAATTTCACCAGCTTTCTAACGACTTAAATTTGATAACCGTCGCACCTAGAACCGAACAAGTAATAAAAATCAAAACATCGATCGCCAATGGTGAAATCGTAATTCCTCATCAAAAATTTCATAATTGCGAGATACCTGAATGTCTTACGATAGCAAAAAATATTTTTGCGCTGACAACGATTTTGAATAACACTACTAAGCCTGTTACATTCAGTTTTTCTCAGCCGATTTCAGTAGAATCATTCAATTTATCAGAAATGCCAGAAATTGATCTCAATTATTTAGACACATCAGAGAAATTTGACCTAGATTTGTCGAAAATCAGGATTGATCACCTAAATTCTGAAGAGAAATCAAAGATACTTCAACTTTGCAGAGAGTTTTCAGACACTTTTTACCAGGCCGGAACTCCACTAACATTTACTAATAAAGTCAGGCATCAAATAAAACCAAAAACGAAAGACGCGTTTACACAAAATCGTATCGCTATCCATTTGTTCACAGAGGCTAAGTAAATAGCCAAATACAAAAAATGTTGGATTCCAATATAATACGTCCAAGTAGCTCAGGTTATAATTCACCTATCTGGGTCATTCCAATGAAGCTAGACGCTTCGGGGAAGCAAAAATGGAGAGTTGTAATTGACTACCGAAAATTAAATGAACAGACTATTGACGATAAATATCCGTTACCCAATATCAACGACTTGCTTGACAAACTTGGCAGATGCCAGTATTTTACTACCCTTGACCTAGCGAGTGGTTTCCATCAAATCGAGATGGAGGAAACAGACATGGAGAAAACCGCCTTTAGTACCGAAAATGGGCATTGGGAGTTTCTCCGGATGCCTTTTGGAGTAAAAAACGCGCCCGCCACATTCCAACGAGTCATGTAAAATATTTTAAGGGGGATACAAAACGAGAAATGTCTCGTATATCTCGACGACATTATAATTTTTTCTACATTCCTTCAAGAACATATTGAAAATTTAAGGTCAGTTTTCCAACGACTCAGAAATTCAAAATTTAAAATACAGCTCGACAAATCAGAATTCCTTCGTAAAGAATTACCTTATCTCGGACATGTAGTCACACCAGACGGCGTTAAGCCAAATCCAGATAAAATTATTGCCATCCAAAAATTTCCGATTCCAAAAACGACTAAGCAAATTAAACCTTTCTCGGACTTATTGGTTACTATAGACGTTTTATAAAAGATTTTGCTCACAAAGCCTCTAACTAAATGTCTAAAAAAGGGAGCCAAAATTGAACACGATGCTGAATTTATTGACTATTTCGAAAAATGTAAAAATGTTCTTTGAACCGATACTCAAGTATCCAGACTTTTCTAAGCCATTTAACTTAACCACGGATGCGAGCAACGTAGTCCTTGGTTGTGTACTTTCACAAGGCCCTATAGGACACGATCTTCCTATCGCCTATGCTTTGCGCACGCTTAATGATTCCGAACGAAATTATAGTACGATTGAGGAAGAATTACTAGCGATATATATAATATATAGATATAAATACTTATGGTCCCTTCGAGACCCTTCTTCAAGATTAATAAGATGTAAAATCAGGTTAGACGAGTATGATATGAATATCGTCTATAAGAAAGGCAAACTGAATACCAATGCAGATGACCTGTCTCGTGTAGAGATCCATACAAAAGAAACCAGTTCATTTTGGAACGACTTAGATGATTTGATTCAAAAATGCGCGGGTACTCAACACCAAAACGTTAAGTTTGACCGACCAGTTCAGAAAGGCTCATCTGAATGAAGTACACCTACATTTAACTTTTCTACACCAAAAGAACCTGATACTGAATCTATGTTCGTAAACGTCGATAATGACGAAGACAGTCTTTTCATTCAACCCCCAGACGAAACTATAGATATCATTAAACATGAACAAGTCAATCTAGAATATCAAAATAATTGTCCTGAAAATCCAGACGAAACTGTACATTCAAATGCGAATCGGGGAAATAATCAGATTATCATAAATACAGTAACACATTCACCTACACCACCAAAAATTTCTATTTTATTTGAAAGCAAGCAACGAATTAACGTACAATTTTCAGAAAATGATTTTAACGATGATGTATTTAAATTTATTCGAGATTATATTGCTCCTAACGTAATTTATCACTTATACTTTGAAAATCAAGATATATAGTATATGAAAAATTTTCTGTTGTTCTACAAAGGATGTTTAAGTCCGATACTTTGAAATTGAAAATGTGTAGAACCAAATTAGTCGACGTTACAGATAAAACTGATATCAAGGACATTATCCGGAATTACCACGAAAGCAAGTCGAATCATCGTGGAATTGAGGAAACGCATAAGAGAATAAAAGAATAATATTTTTGGCCTAACTTGAAAAAAAAATTCAAACATTTATAAATGAATGTGAAAATTGTCAACAATGAAAATATGTGCGTCATCCGATAAAAATTGCGATGAATCTCACCCCCACTGCATCGAAACCTTTTGAAATCGTACATATCGATACTTTCACTTTTGAAGGTTCAAAATTTCTCACAATTATAGACAGTTTTTCTAAATATGCTCAAGCATATCAGATTACTTCGCTTTCAGGAACTGAAATTGCTGATAATCTGATATTATTCTTTTCTCATCATGGAATTCCTACCCGAATTATCGCAGATAATGGCACTGAATTCAAAAATACCGTTGTAACTGAACTTTTGTCACTTCATAAAATTAAGCTTCATTTTATTTCGCCAAATCATAAAGATTCTAATGGAGTCGTTGAACGATTTCATTCAACTATCACCAAACATTCAAGATTGTTGAACACAGAAGGCTTTCAGAAAACCCCTATAAAAATGAAAATGCTGTATGCCATTTTAGCCTACAACCACATCTTACATTGTCACAAAATTAAAGCCTATAGATATAGTCAATGGACATATTACGTCGAATGAACCATTCGATATCAAATTCGACCAATTACTCCTCAATGACTATACCAACAGCCACAAAGAGCGTACAAAGCTATTATTCAAAAATAAATTCTGATCTCATTCAAAACAAAGAGAAAACGCTAGAACTCGTTAACAGAGATTGCGATAGTCCGACTACACTTGATAACCGAGAAACAGTATAAAAGCCTGTTCAGATGAGGCGTTTTGACTCGCGTTCCGAGCTAGCAGCCGTCGCGAGTATACACTTGTGCGACTGCGACCCACCCGGACTTACAGTGCGATCCTATTGTGATTTTCATCACGATACGATCGCCATCCACGATGGCGAGAATAGAAAAACTGATGATCCAGCTGAAGCAGAAGGAGGATAACTTCGCAATGCTTGCTGAGCAGATGAAAAATCTGCAAGCATTCAAGCAGGCGAGGCAAGAGATAGAGGAAGTGAAGGGGAAGCTCCTCAAAGCGAAGAGGAAGGCGAAGAAGACGGTAGAAGAAGAAGAAGGTGAGGACCAGGGAGACGAGGACCAGCAGCCTACGGAGAACAGGGACATGGATGCCCAAGATATCGAAGAAGAAGAAGCCGAGAAGAGGACTGATGACGCAGACTTCAGTGTCGTCACCAGGAGGAGAAAACGAGTGAGAGAAGAAGAAGAAGAACCATCCAGGCAGCCAAAGATACCAGCTGCCACCAAGAAGAGAAGTCCTAGAGCAACCAGGACCACCGAGGCCCCCATGGCAGGAACAGGAGTTCCGCCAATCAATATCGAGGGCACCGCTGATTGGTCATCCTTAAGCAGGATGATGAACAGCAAGGGGATCCAATTCTCCAAGGCGAGGACGGCGGGTAACAGTGTGAAGGTGTTCACAAATACACCAGCTGACTACCGTCAGCTAGTCGCACTGCTGGAATCCATCAAGCGGCCCTTCTTCACCTATCAACTGAAGGAGGACAGGATGGACTAGAGGGTCATTCGTGGGCTACCCAGGGAGATGTCAGTCAATGACATCAAAGAGGATCTAGTGAGCCAAGGCATCGCAGACGCCGAGGTTCAGCAGATGACCTCAAGGACCACCAAGAAGCCACTTCCGCTCTTCCTCGTCAAGACGAAGATGCCGGAAAAGCTTGCAGAGATCCAGAGGCTGGCCATGCTCACGGTCAGCTTCGAGAGGAAGAAAAAGTCTACCGAGCCCAGCCAATGTTACCGCTGCCAGCGGTACGGGCACACACAGCGGAACTGCCGTCTCGCTGAACGGTGCGTTAAGTGTGGAGAGGACCACAGCAGCACCAGCTGCAGTCTGCCAGCGCCGCCAACAGGGCAACGAAACGCCAAGTGTTGCCTTGGTGGAGAAGGCCACCCCGCCAACTACAAGGGATGTAGTAAGGCCCCGAGGAAAGCTGCTTCTGCCCCCAAAGCAGCCCCCACCACAAATAGGACCTCTTACGCTCAAAAAGCGAAGAAACCTATGTCCACTTCTGCTCCAGCAGCCGCCACTGCTACTGGAACTACTGCGCAGAAGCAACACGGCGATGACAGACTGCTAGCAATGATGCAAGCCATCATAACTCGCCTGGATGCACTCGAGGCCAAGATGCAAGACAAGCATTAGACCCGAAATGACTACAGGGCAAAACGTAGAATCTCTACGCATTATCTCCTGGAACATCAACGGATTCAGGGCACGGAAACCAGAAATCCAGGAGATACTAGACCAGTACCAACCAGAGGTGATGGCCATCCAAGAAACGAAATTGGATGCTGCCCATAGTCTGACGTTCCCGCGGTACGAGACGTACCGCTACGAGCTACGACAGAAGAGGCAGAGGTGGAGGAGTCGCATTACTCGTCAAACGTACCTTGACGAGTCAAGGAGGTATCTCAGATCTCTCCAAATGAAGCTGCTAGTGCCCAGTGTAGCGTAAGAAACAACATTTACAATTTTTGCTGTACTCAGTGATTTTTCCATTTATTTCTCGAAACTTTTTCGCCCTCTATTGCTTTACATTTATATATACTCGTAAAAGCTATCTATAAGTAAACTTATTTAGTGACTTTAATTGCATATATTTAATGTCCGATTCTGAATTTGAATCTGTAGTCGAAAATACACCTGTTAGACAAGTTATTTTGACACCCTCACATCTTAATTTTAATCAGTCCACCATGTCTCTTCAAGATTTACAAATTAAATTCAATGTAGCTAAATATATGGTACCAGAATATCATGGAGGTCACAGAGATCTAATTTATTTTTTGGATAATTCAGAAAAGTTTATTGCAGAATTTGTTAATACACCTTTTGTTTCGTATGCTTTCCAATACGTTATTTCTCAGCTGAAAAGCGAAGTAAGAGATTTAGTGCATCTAACTAGTCCGAGAACCTGGCCAGATTTAAAATCATTATTATTATCCAAATATAAAGATCCTAGAAATGAAGAAACTCTTCTCACCGCCTTATATACGTCAGTTCAGAAACCTAACCAAAAATATGAAGACTTTTATCAAGAAATTAAATTTAAGGTACATAGCCTGAAAGAATTTGCAAATTTAGAATACCATGATAATCCCGATCATATTGCTTTTAAATTGAGAGACTATGATAGACAGTCTTTGAGCTCCTTTATCTCTGGTTTGAATGAACCATATAGGTCTTATGTAAGACAGCAAAATCCTACTACAATTGATTCTTGTGTTCAATATTGTCGTGATTATGATAATTGCAAATGCAAGTTGATTACAAAAATTTCTTAAGAACGAGCCTATATAAACGACAACAGCCTCAGTCTCAGAATAAAGTACAAGCTTCAAATCAAAATTTCCAAAGGTCTAATTTAAATTTTTCTCAAAAGCCCAATCAGTTTAGAGCCCAAAATAGTCAAACTTGGCTAGAGCCACAACAAACCTTCCCTACAGGTCCCACGCAACTACCACCACCTAAACAAAATTTTAAACCTCATTACCCTATGAACATTCAAGCTTTCAGACCACCACAGAATGTTTTTTTCCAAAAAACCCATTCCAGGCCAACAAAAAAGTAATCCTATACCTATGTCTGTATCTACAGCACGCACACCGAAACCCCAACAAAACCCATATCGTCAAAAAATGCCCACTAGAGTTAATGCCTTTCAAGTAGGTCCCAAACCAAACCATTATTATGTCGAAGAAATTACTCAACTTGAAAATGAGGAAGAACAAACTTTTGCAGGAACGCCACAATATGCATCTGAGGAATATACCCAAGATTTCGATTCAGACTATATCCCCGATGAATCTTATTTTGAAAACAATGACGAAGAAAATTTTCCTTCGACGAGCCAGTCTCAAATTTGACTTAGATATAAATAATTATCAAAAAACTCATCTTCCGTATATTTTTTGTTCTCAGTTTAATCTTATCATCTTAATTGATACTGGTGCATCATCCTCCCTGATCAATCCACAAATTGCTTTTAAATATTTTCCAGATCGTATTTATGATCATCCTTTTGAAATTAATTCATGTACGTCCAATTTTAGAGGTCAATATGCCTGTAAAATTCCCATATTTTCTGAATGGAAGAATAAAACTGAAATTGAATTTTTAATTCTTCCTTGGCATTCACGTTATGACTGCTTATTAGGATTCTATGATTTACAAAAGCTTAATTGCTCTATTGATTTGACTAAACATCAGATTATTACTGATAAATGTAAAATTACTTATAACACTTCTTTTAAGCCAATTCGAGAAAACAATCCAGTTCAGTATAGTAACCCGAAAAAATCATTAATTATCCGAAATTTGGATAATGGTTCTGTTGAAGAAAAGATTATTAAGCTCTGCAAGCAATTCAAACAGGTATTTTTCAAGCCTAACGAACCATTAACTCCCTGTAATGCCACTGCACACAAAATTAGGTTAAAAATGAAGACCCAATTTATGTAAAAAATTATCGATATCCTTATCATCTCAAAAAGGAAATCCAAAATCAAGTTTCCAAGTTATTGAATGATGGAATCATCCGACAAAGCTATTCACCCTATCAATCACCCTGCTGGATAGTTCCTAAGAAAATGGATGCATCCGGTGTTAAAAAATATAGGATGGTTAGTGATTTCAGAAAACTGAATGAAATAACAATTGAAGATAAATTTCCACTCCCACTAATTGAAGAAGTTTTGGAAAATTTAGGCAAAAGCATGTATTTTTCTACTATTGACTTGGCACAAGGGTTCCACCAGATCCCTATGGATCCTGAGTATATAGAAAAAACGGCTTTTACTGTTGAAAATGGCCACTATGAATATGTCCGTATGCCATTTGGGTTAAAAAATGCCCCTGCTACCTTTCAACGTACGATGAACACTGTATTGTTAGATTATATCAACGTTTTTTGTTTTGTCTATATGGATGATATCATTGTTTTTTCAAAATCCCTAGACGAACACATTTTGCATCTTCGAAAAATATTCCAAAAACTGAATCAGTTTAATTTAAAAATCCAACTGGACAAATCTGAGTTCCTGAGAAAAGATGTTCCATTCTTAGGTCATGTCATCACGCCACAAGGCATACTTCCAAACCCAGATAAAATCAAAGTAATTCAAGAATATCCTCTCCCGACTACGATTAAAGAAATCCAGTCATTTTTAGGCCTTATGAACTATTATCGTAAATTTATTAAAGGATTTGCACAATTGACTAAGCCGTTCACAAAATGTTTACGTAAAGATGAAAAAATCAATATCAATAATCCAGATTATATCAATGCATTTAAACTTTGTAAAGAAGTTCTTTGTAACCCACCTATTCTGGCTTATCCTGATTTTCCCAAAAAATTTACATTGACAACTGATTGTAGCAATATAGCCCTATCAGGAGTTCTTAGTCAAAATGATAAGCCTATTGCTTTCCACTCTAAAACATTAAATTCTGCTGAACGCAATTACAGCGTTATTGAAAAGAAATATTGGCAATAGTTGATTCTTGTAAAAAATTCCGTCCTTATTTATTTGGTCAAAATTTTTTAATCGAATGTGATCACAAGCCCCTAGTTTGGTTGAGTTCTTTATCAGTGCCCAATCAGCGATTAATTAGATGGAAGCTTCAGTTAGAAGAATATAATTTTTCAATTAAATATAAAAAGGCAAAGACAATGTTGTAGCCGATGCACTTAGTAGAATTGAAATTAACGCTTTAGAGGATGACGATCTTTTATCCATTTTACCACAAGTAGATTCTGTAGAAGAATTAACAACCCAAGAACTTGATGAAATCTTGAATGAAGATAATTTACCTTTATTTGATTTATTAGATGAAATGCCGTTAGATGAACGACTCAAAATTGTGAGCAATGATGTTACTCGACATTCATCTGCACAAACTTCCTATCAATCATATATTGTATCAAGAAAAGAATTTTTATTTTTCAAAAATCGAATACATTTTCAGTTAAAAAATCCGTACAAAATAACAAAGCCTTGCAATGGAACTTTAATGGTAACAGTCCGAAGTGGATCGGAAACAGAGCAACTTTTGAAATTTATGAAGGAATAATCTTCAGCCCGATCATACTTATGGTATTTGGTATGAAAATCAACTTTTAGAATTCAAACTTAACGAACTTTTAGAACAGTATTTTTCGAACAGCGGTATAAGATTTGTTAAAGCTTCTTATAAGCCTATATACCTACTAAAAGACTCATTTACAGAACAATTGTCTTTCTATCATAGCCAAACGCATAATGGTATCAATGAAACTTACAGCCACTTCAAATATGAAAAAAATAATATCAAATTACATTAATCAGTGCAATACTTGTTTGACATCAAAATACGAAAGACGACCAATCGAACTCCCTATGGAAGGACCTCTAATAGCCAAAAGACCATTTGAACATATATTTCTAGATATTTTTCAAGTCGAACAACAAATATTTTTAACATTTGTTGATTTATTTAGTAAATATGCCCAGGCCTACAATTTAAAATCAAAATTATCTAACGAAATATTAAACAAAATCAGACACTTCTTTTCCCATCACAATTATCCTGACAAAATGACTTTTGATCCTGGTGAACTTAACACAAAAGTTATAAAAGAATTCTGTAATATGCACAAAATTGACTGTCATGTTACTAGTGTAGGTAACCCTCATCATTATCACCTCTTGAAAGATTTCATAGTACCTTGAAAGAAAAACTCAAAATTTTACGTCAGCAAAATAAATTCGATTCGATTATTGATCTAATGACGACAGCTATCTTAGTTTATAACCAAAGTGTCCATTCTACGACCACATATACCCCATTTTCATTATTATACGGTCCTTACGACGAATTGAATAAGCATTTGATCGATACCCCCACAAAATTATATGATGAATATAACGAGAAGAAACGGTACAGAGAAATTACTACCTTTTATGAAGAACTATCGAACCGTGTACAAGATAAGGCAACGGAAAAACTAGAAAAAATTAATCAAAATCGAAATAAGGAAATTCCAACCTTAGAAGGTCCAGTATATCTTAAATCTGCATTAGATCGTTCACATAAAACAAAACCCCTGTATTCTAAAGAGACCTCTTACGAACAAGAAAATGTCCATATTAATTTGCGCACTAAAGGAAAAAAACATAGACTGAATAGAGTGAAACCGCAACGCAAAATTTCTAACTTTCAGGATCCTAATCCAGGCACTTCAACTAGCCTGCCTAGAGATCCAGCTGATCGAGAATAAAGCACCATATTTTAAGCAAGAGCTAGGTAACGCCTATCTACTAAAAGCGTACCATAAGACATTTTTTCATATAAATCTCACTCTCATTAATGAAAATATCAAGCAAATAACGTCAAATGTCTATTTTGCAAAACAAAGAATCGATGATACGTTGATGACACAACTTGAACATGAATACAATTTGCTTTTAGACAAATATGAATTGATTCATATATGGGACATCATGCGATTATAACGAGTGATAAGAGTCATCTTGATTCCAGATGGATCCAAAAATATTTTATGGAAGCAGTAAATATGTTACGAATGTACCGGAAAACAATGAAAGTGATGATCCCGATTTGTCAGACGATGAAGACACAAATAATCCAATAATTAATGATAATATATTAGCATTTGACAGCGACGACAACAGTGAGCCTGAAGGAGATTATGATGAGACAGTCATTTCTGAAACAGATGTAGAATCTGACGATAGTGAAAATATGACTCTACACGAAATTGCAGAGAAGATGAATCCAAGCGCCTGGAGAACTGGAAATCTCGTGAAAGATCCAAAGGATCTAGAATTTACAGGCATATGAATATGCCTCCAGAAGTTACTGACTTAGAAACGCCATTACAATTCTTCAAGTTCTTCTTGACTAAGGAAATCATATCAGCAATAACTATCGAATCAAATTTATATTGCTCACAAAAGCGTATAAACCGTCCTTTGAACCTCACAGATGATGAATTAGAGCGGTTTATTGGCATATGTTTATATATGTCTATTATACAACTACCCCAAGCTAGAAACTATTGGTCGCCACATTTAGGTCATCATAAGGTATCTGCAGTTATGACATGTAACAGGTGGGAAGAAATCAAAAGATTTATTCATTTCAACAATAACGATAATTTCATACCTCGTGGTACACCTGGACATGATAAATTATTCAAAATAAGACCTTTTCTAGACAGTTTACAAGAAAGACTAAATAAAATTCCAGTTGAAGAGAACGTTGCGGTAGACGAACAAATTATTCCAACTAAAGCCAGATCAACAATAAAACAATACAATCCGAAAAAGCCACACAAGTGGGGCTATAAAGTATTTGTTTTGAGTGGAATCTCCGGCTTTAGTTACAGCTTCGACATTTTTGCTGGATCTCAGAGCAACGTAGTTCCTGTTGATGTTCCTGATTTAGGAACAAGCAGTAATGTGGTGCTAAAACTTGCCCAAAGAGTCCCTAAGCATATGAACCATAAAATATTTTTCGATAATTGGTTCACCAGTGTCCCACTTGTGGTTTACTTGAGCAAAAATGGCATTCTTCCTCTTGGTACTGCGCGCTTGAATCGAATTCCAGGTTGTAAAATGCTATCGGAAAAGGAATTCAAGAAACTTGGAAGAGGATCTTGGCAAGAAAAAACTGCTATCAAAGATGATGTGAAATTAAGTACTGTTTGCTGGTATGACAACAAAATTGTCACAACTCTGTCATCTTATGTCGGCTCGCAACCAATTGGAAGTAAGCAAAGGTTTTTTAGAAGCGAGAAATGCTACAAAGATGTGCAATGTCCGCAAACAATCCTAAAATATAATGAATATGTACATGGGAGGCGTAGACCTATTGGATTCTATGCTTGGTTATTATCGCATCAAAATTAGATCCAAGAAATGGTATCTCCGCATTTTCTTTCATTTTATAGATATGTGCGTTGTGAATAGTTGGCTTTTATGGAGGACGCAGAACGAGTTTTATATGCCACTTGCAGATTTTAAGGTAGCTATTGCGGATGCTTTATGTATCAGTGGAAAATCTGTATTGAGTAGAAAACGTGGACGACCTAGCGCCAATCTTGAACATGCTTATTTGGAAAAGACTAAACGTGGACCTGCGGCTGAAATTCCTCAAATTGAAGTAAGAAAGGACGGAATAGATCATTTGCCGGAATGGAGAGAAAATGAAAGAAATCGATGCAAACATCCAGACTGCAAATACCAATCATATATTTATTGTGTAAAATGTCAACTACCGCTCTGCCTAAATAAAGATAGAAATTGTTACCTAAGATTTCACACCGAGTAACTACATAAGACTGGTTGTTAGTGCATAGAGTCCCATATATGATACATACCCCTTTTTTGTAAATTTTTCAATAAAAACTTAATAAATATTTTTTTTATTATTTTTCATCTAACTTGTGCAGACTGATCTACCTCATATATTTTTCCATTGAAAATAAAAAAATCATGCAATAAGGGGTTAATGGTCTTGGTTCCGTCATAAAATATATTTCAGGCAATTTGGATCAATCTGATCTAGACGAAATAATGGAAAATATGAAAATTCTGAAGGAAAATCAAGATAATTTATCATTACAAAATTCCCTGAACCGTCTCTGTAGCAAAACAATTACAAGACACGTTTGAAAATAACACTTTAATTATAAAGAAAAATTTGAGAGATAGTTTGGATAACCTCAACAAATTGCATAGCGAATACGCTAATTCTCAGTATGTCTTGAATGAGATAATAATTATTCAAAGATTTCTAATTATTTATCACACTTACTGTTAACCATTAACCTGAGCACAAATCAGGGCATAAATCTCTTACAGCTGAGTAAGACTGAAATTAATTATATCCATTCGTTATTAAGTGATCTATTTGACAAAAATGAACTTCTCCCACTCGATAAACTGCACAATTTTGAATTTTTCGAATTATGTGATAAGTATTATAGTCCTCGAAGAAGAAATCATATTTGTTCTTCACATACCAACAGTTACTGGTAACTTTATATATTCCAATATATACCCCATTATACACCAAAATAATATTCTGGTATTGAAACATAAAATATTATTAAAAATGAAACTATACATTTTTGTAATGAATGCAAATTATTGAGTAATAAATATTTTTACTGTACTATACTAATCCATTCCAGTTGTAACTTACTTAAAGTTGAAAATTGTACATTCTTGGCAAAAGGTTCATTTTCAGAAGTAATTTAATTAAAACATGATAACTATTTAGTTAATACTAACAAGAATATACCAGTATATGAAGATTGTACCAAAGAAAGAAAAGAAATTGATTCCTCTTTTATTATCAGCTTAAACTGCAAAACATGAAGATTTCTGATATTTCGAAACCTTTATACATACCTAACATTATGGTGAACTATGATAAGAATATGTTATTTGAAAATACTGATGTAAAGGGTTATTCGGATATACAATTGAATAATGTTTTATTACACGATAAATTAAAAAATTACGATTTTTCACACAAAACGTCCACGTTTAGCATTGTAACTATTTTATGTATTTTAACATTTATTGTAATTATACTTTGTTTAAAAAAACAATTGCTCTCCCTTTTGAAGCAAAAAGAACCAAAAAATCAATCAGTCAAAAATGACATTGAACTTAACCTGATTTTTCCTTTGAACCAGGAGGTACAATCTTCTTGAAGAGGGAGGAATTACGGCACTGCTATGATGATGATCTAATATGTAGAGTTGCTTAGGTTTGCACTTTTCGATTCCTTTGTTCTAGCGTAGGTTATAAGTAAGAGATGCATGTAAACCAAGGTGACCAGTACTCATTCGTCTTCTGTTAAATAAAGTCGCTTTTTTAAAAAGTCGTTCGTTGTTTGCACATTCTTAATTCGCGCGAGTCGAGATACATTGGGTGGCATTGCGGCGTCCAGTACTTCCCGCGCTTTGGTGGCGATAGGATGTATTTAGTAGAAAATGGAGCGTCATAGCTTTGATACCGAACTCTTCATTGATGAAGTGGAGAAAAGAGCAGCCATATGGGATATGGAGTCAGCCGATTATGCAAATAGAGTCATAAAACGTAGGAACTGGGAAGAAATAGGTGAATTTTTTTCTGAAGCCGGCGATTCCGAAGAAAAGAAAAAAACTTTAGATGAATAGTTTATTTAATATTATTTCTCAGATTACACAGGTGTACATAGGTACCTCATATTTATGACTATTTAACTATATCATCTTATCTTGCCAAGGGAGTTTGCCTTCATTAACAAAATAATCAGCGAATTTGTCTCTTGTATTCAGCGATCTCGCATTAGGCCTCACTGCCTCAGTGTTAAAATTGATCAGAGATGTTTCGTATAGAGTGTGGTCATATCTATAACCATCCCTCAACCTTACGTAATTATGAAGGACACAGCAAGCTTTAATAATATTTTCTGCAAACTCTATGTCTACATTCAACGGTCTATGGAATATTCTCCATTTATTCAACAAAATGCCAAAGCAACATTCAATGTAACGCCTTGCCCTGGATAAGCGATAGTTGAAAATTCTTTTCTTGGTTATTAGAGACCTTCCACAATAAGGACGCATTATGTTTTCAGGCAGACTAAACGCCTCATCTCCTACTATCACATGGGGTAAAGGAGTTATATCTGTTGGCGATATTGGTTTTGGGTCTGGAATATCTAAAGTTTTCTCGACAAGTTTTTTATAAAAAACAGAATCTTTAAAAATTGTGGAGTCATTACTTTTCCATATGCGCCGATATCAACTGCAATGAAACAATAATTTGCATCGCATACAGCCAACAAACAGTTGAAAAATAATTTTTATAGTTATAAAAAAGAGACCCAGTATTGTTAGGTTTTATAATACGGATATGCTTGCCATCAATGGCGCCAATACAATTTGGAAAGTTTGTGTATTTTTGAAATTGTTGCGAAATTTCTTCCCATTTATCCTTCGTAGGTTCGCTCATTACTATATTGTGCAGTTTTTTCCATATGACGTAACAGGTTTTCTGTACTATTTCCGTAACTGTGGATTTTCCCAATCATAATGCAGGTCCGCAAAATAACATCCGGTAGCCAAATATCCGAAACAAAAGTAGGGTTATTATTTTTTTTTAGTAGCTAAGCATGAGAATACATGCATAAATATTCAGTTTGACCATTGTAATCCTTTTATTGATTACAGGGAATTCACTGCAACAGAAGTGGAAAGGGTTGCGTGATGGCTTTGTAAGAGAACTGAAGAAGAGAAAAACCACACCGTCTGGATCAGGAGCCTCCGGTAAAGGCAAATATATTTATTTTGAACGCTTGATGTTCCTCGAACGATCAACACGAAATAAAACGACTGACAGCAACATCAACACCACGCCTCGTGCAACTGAACAACAGGACCTTTCTGGCAATGGGGAAGATGTAACAAGACCTCCAGTTCGTCAGGCAAAAAAGAAGAAAAAACTAGATACGGCCGACAAAGAATTTCTCACCATCATAAAAAAAATGTTTGTCTGGAAATCAGACGCAGACATTAAACCAAGCGGAGTCAGATGATGATAAACTATTTTGTTTGTCGTTACACAAGGCGCTTCTTAAAGTACCAGAGGAAAACAGACTTCAAACAAAAATTGAATTAATGAACGTACTCCAAGCTCACCAAGCGCTGTGTCATAAATCCTCAGCTGTTCGTTCGGCCTACCCGCCTTCAACACAATATCATCATCAAGCAGATATGACACCACGCGGACAAATAGATCATTTTCAAGAAACAGGATATAACGCAATAGACCCTTCAACATCTTCGTTTGCACCTGCAACCTTTTCGACTTACAATAGAGGTTATTACACTGCGCAGCGACACACTCCACCAACGACGTCTGCCTACAACAATCCAACAACCCCATCATCGGCACCTGCTCAAGAATTTAAGGTACAAAATTGTTAAAGGTATTAAACAATAAAAAATATTACCTCAAAGTGATCACGAGTTTTTCTTCTGCAGAAACAGTATCCCGTACCAAATAATTTTGACATGGAGTCAAATCATCTTGAATAATTTCTAGTAACTCATCGAACGATGTTACTGACATCCGAAAGTAGTTGAAAAACTTTTCATTGTGTTCTCTGAGCTTTGGGTATGATGTTATAAACATACTATGCGTCATTCTATCACGTAGAATTGGATGCACGTTAAATCGTCGACTTTCTCTTCGCTTACGACGTTTCCATCGACGATAAGCAAGCCACAATACAACCGCTCTATCCAAGCCCATATTTATAACTGCCTGTTTGTCAGGAAATCCCTCCCTGCGTAGAAACGCGTGTAAAACGCGGTATCTGGACGCAATATAAATTGACGTAAAACGCCTTATCTGAACAGGCTCTAAGTCAAAAAGCATGTTAGAAAAAAGCACGCCAACAAATTCTCAAAGCCGTGTAGACTACAAAGTGTTAATACGGAGAAAAAGACTGTCACGACGGACCAGCACGGAAAAGTGCATGTAAGTAATTTGAAACGTCCGCTACGCAAACTTTATTCGTTTGACTAAGCCTCGAGCAATTAGATAAGAAACTATGTCTGTAATCTACGTTTACCTTATTCTTAATTGCACGCTAAAAGTAAGATTTTCTTTCGAATATATTATTTTACAGGTTCCCAGGAATCATAGGAATCCATGGGACGATAACGTTGAAGAATTTAGAAAATAACCTAGGGTTGATACCCATGAAATAAGGGACTACCAAAATTACAAAAAATTGTCACTCAATACTGTATTTTTACGACGTCAATTTAATAATCACTGAAGTTAATGACCTTAAGAAAAAACCGACAATGTTGCGAAATTATCCAGGAAATATATTGAGCATTATAAACACTCAGCAAATTACCTCACTGTTTTGTATTTCTTAGAAAAAAAAAAAGTAGACGGAAAGCTAAATGACATTTTTCCCTCTACTTACGAAACTTTTCCATCATTCTCTGTTAGAATAAAAAGGGGATTAATAAACGGCTTAGGTTCAATTTTCAAAGCAATCACAGGAAACCTGGATGCTTCAGATGGTGAAAAATTCGAATCTCTAATAAGCGATTTGCAGAATAATCAAAACAAGTTATCAGAAGCTATCAATAGTCAGAATACCTTATCTGTCGAACTTATCGATAATTTCAATAAAGCTATAAATCAAATTACTCATAACCAAAAGCTATTGGAAGCTAAAATAAATCAGCTTTCAATAGATATGATCAACACACAAGCCTACATAGAAAATGGCATTTTCTTGAGAGATACAATCTCAGAGATCATTAATATCTATCATATCATCATTTCGGTACTCCAGGATACAGAAAACTCACTTACTTTTTCAAATTGGGAATTATGCACCCCAGTGTAATCAAACCAAAACATTTACTTCAAGCACTAAATTCAGTGGTATTAAAACTATCCACAAAACAACTCCCTTTAGAAGTTACTTTGGATAATATTCCAATTTTTGAAAAGCTCATTAAAATCAGCTGTTATACAGTTGATAGAAAAATTAGATCCATTCTTCAAATTCCAATTGTTCATACATTCCAATTTGATCAGTATCACGTATATTCAATTACAACATTTCATAAGGGTCTGTTCAAAGTAGTCATCCCTTCTGGAAAATATCTTGTAAAGAATGAGTTGTACTTCGCTTTTGCGGGAGACGCATGCACGGAAACGGTCGCAAAATAGTACGTTTGCAAGGAACTAGATTTAAGAGGAATCAAAGAATCCAATCCCTGTGAAGTTCAACTCCTGGAACAAAAAACTCCCACTACCTGCCGAGAAGTAGAAGCCGTAATCACAGAGCCAGTAATGAAGGAACTACATGATTTCGGACAATGGATCTTGCTTATACCCAATGAAACCACCATTACATTAAGCTGTCAAGAAGGCCGAAAAACAGTCAAAGTTTTGGGATCCTACTTAGCCGAAATTCCAGTCGGTTGTACACTGGAACTAAATCAAGACCTGATCGCCAATCAAGAACCTATATCGATTGGAAGTCAGCCAATAATTTTCCAAATATCGATACCAATACTTCAATTGCTACCAAGCCGAATGACTTCAGCCTTCATCTGGACCTAATAGAATTTGATGAAGTTCACAAAATAAAAAGAAGATTAATAGAAAATCGTGTTGACATCCATTCACATAAGGTGTCGCACATTCCCAGTTCTTGGACAATCCTGTTGTATGGAGTACTGCTGCTGCTACTTTGCTGTTTTGTCTACAAGAAGATCATTTCTAAGAATTTTACTAAGCCGAAGAAACCACAAAGAACCCCTATTGAAGAAGTTGATCTTTCCAATGTGCAACTTCCTCGTTAACCCTCGAAGTTGCAACTACAAGGGGAGGCATTATAGTACAGAAGATTTACCCCTACCACTAAAGAAGAGGATCGAGTTTCCCTGGATCAGCACTTTGCCTTATCCAGTCTTATTTTATTGTATTCAGTTAGTTAGACTGCTGTTAGCGCTCATACTATATACATCAATAGAATTTGTATTTTGATAATCGAAAATAAATCTTTTTAAAAAGAAAGTAGACTGACTCGGTCAGATAATTAGCTGAAAAAATACCTCGTATGAATAGCAGTTTGCACGTGGCCCTTATGAAGTGCGCATCACGCTGCGACCAGTTAGAGGAATTAGCAAAGGTAACATTGATAATTATCATAATCAGAGTAATATATATTGGCGTTAATATACTGAACATGTCATTTATTAGTCTTGTTTGAGTAATTAAGCAATACTTTGAATAAACAAGCTGTTTTTATTAAAACGTGATGATACGTGTTTATCTCAAATTATGCCCGATTATAATTCTTTTTGTAGTTGGATGATACGAGTTATTGTTTATCACTATTTAAGCATTTAGTCAAGCAATCGGCGAAACATTAAAATGTCCTTGCTTCGTATTTCCTAATTTATAAAATTAATCTTTGAAATGTATTTCCTACTAAGCGCTGTTGTCAAAATGCTTAGTTCAAGTTCAAGTAAATTGCTAAGATATACAGTTCTAAATGAAAGACAACTGTACGGAATTTATAGGAACCTCATCCAGCCGTTGGTATATTATAGCTTTGTTCTATTATAGATGTCAAGCAGAACTAAAAGGATTCTGGCCGCTGCTTTGGAAACGGATATAAATACCCAGGTTTTAGAAGAAGCGCTTTCACATTCAATCGTTTTTACAAATGAAGATATTACTGAAAATGTGACTAATGACGGACTTTCGAAAGGGATTTCTGAAACTGGCTCTGTTCTCGCACTAACGTTGAGTTACGATGATATGAATGTAGATATTATAGACGCATTGGTACATAATACTGATCCTGTGTCACAATCTAACCATGCGGACGGAAGTACAGTTTTACCAATTTGTAGCTTCAGGCGAGAACAACATTTCCCAACTACGTTATGCTGACATATAGTAGCTTACCAATCTGTTTCAAAGATGATTTGAAGGGCATTTTGGAAAACCTGCAAACATCAAGTGAACTTTTGGATGGAGAAATGAATGCAGCAGCTGGAAGACAAGACCAATCTGTCCCAAAGGATGCTGATCCGGATCATGAAATGGAAAAAGAAAATCAACCTGACGAACCTGATCCAGACTTTATTGTTACTGAAGACGAAAATTGTACCGCTGGACAAGAACCTGCACGACAGAAGAAACCCAAGAGAAAAAGGAAACCTGAAAATATTCATTGGACTAGGGAAAAGATAAAATGTAACAGAATGCAAGGCAAGGATTATCTAGGATACAGTCGAAGCAAATCTGGTCAAGTACTACAGAATAGCGAAAGACAATGCAGAAGTTTAGGTCCAGCCTGCTCCTCCATGAAGTGCTTGAAATACGTACAAAAACAGACACTGTAATACTATAACTCATGAGGAGCGCTTGTCGATTTTAAAAAAAATTTGGACCGATATGTCTTGGGAGCAAAAACAGATATATGTAGCAGGTTTGCTGAAAAAGAGACACACCGGAAGGAAATATGTGAACGAGTCACGAAGGAGCTTCAGTTATGTGTATTTTTTAAGGTTTGGTAATGATAAAAAGCAAGTTTTTATCAACACTGGGAATTAAAGAATAGATGGCACTCAGCTGGTGATCCAAGAGTCAAAGTGGCATGCATACTTTCCATGAGCTAGTTTTAAAAGAGCGAAAAGCTTCTAGATGAAAAAATCAAAAATCAGATGAAAAAAAATGAAATATCTTTGTAATTTCCTCACGGAACCGTTAAAAATGTCATCGCACTATTGTAGGCAGAGGTCTTCTAAAACATATTTAGAAAATAATTTTAACTCCAAAGCCAGCTTATATAGGGTAATTCGAGGATAGATGGCGCAGAAGGTGAGGCGTGTTCTTTTATTCCATCGATGAATGAGTGCTAGATAACTCGGCGAGTTGTCGCGATGTCATCCTTGAATTTTGGATAGAACCTCGATTGAATTTAAGAACGCGTTGGACAGATTTGAAATATGAGACTTATTTCGTTTTGTGTTTGAAATCCTAACCTATAACTGCCAACTTGACAGACTGAAGGAGATTCTTCTTTCTTCTGAAAATCAAATTCTATATTGTGTTTTGTTAACCTGATGTATTTTTGTGAAACATGGAAAGTTTAATAGTTTTGGAAATGTTGATATCACAGACTTCTGAATCAAGCTCTGCCAGCAGTTGTGAATCTGACACTGAAGATCTATACATTATGAATAAGATAGAAAATGAAATCCATCCAGTGTCCAGGTATTATGAGGATGTAGTTCCAACATTCTCTATCGACGAATTCAAGAGTCATTTTAGAATTTCTCGGGGATCAGTAGAGGTAGTTACATACTACAAAGATTTTCTCTGAGACTAAACTTTTTATATTTTATTTTAGCAATTACTACAGAATATCAGAACTGGATATTTAAAAAGTGGACCAGGAAGAAGTCCTATCCATATAGACAATATATGACAATCTGGACACCGAGTAATCAAGAATGCTTTCGTTATATATCAGACCGATTTGAGCTGAGAAGAGGAAATGCTCATACAATTTTTCAAAAAATGTGTGAATTATTATGCAAAAACATTAGGAAATACATTCAGTGGCCAACTGGTGGAAATGCTTATGCAAATATTCAGAGGTTCAATAATCTCAGAGGACAAGGAAGTTTTCCGCCTGTTGACAATTCCTATTATGATAGGAAGGGTAACCATTCCTTGATCTTACAAGGAATCTGTGATTCACATCTAAAATTTATCAATGTCTCATGTGGATGCACGAGTGTGGAAGGAGTCCCAAATTTACAATAAGCTTACTGAGGACTCAGATAATTGGCTGCCATACTTAATAGGAGATTCAGCTTATCCGCTGAGTAGTTTTTTGATTACCCCATTTCGAGATAATGGCAACTTATCTAGGCAACAAAGAATATTTAACACAAAGCTGAGCAGTTCTCGAGTGCTTATTGAGCACACATTTGGCAGATTGAAAGGATTATTTAGACGGTTGAAATAGCTTAATGTTGTAAAAATCAACTATGCTAAGCACATCATACTGAGTTGCTGCATCTTACATAATATTGCGATTGATGATAACACTGTTTGGGAAATGGAAGATGCAGATACGCCCTATGACAGTGGTAATGACTATTCAGAAGATGCTGCTCCAATCCCATCTGAGCTAAGAAATAGCATAAAGCAAAAAATTTGTTAATGTAATTCTCCACTGCTCATTGAATTATAATTGTTAGCAAAAAAAAATGAATTTTACAGTATCTGTTGTTTGCTTGCTATTTTGAGCCATGTATGTATTTATATATAATAAAATAAACAAGTAATATACTGCCCTAAGCCAAACCCCCGTATTTGAAAAAAAATCGAAAACGAGATTTTTGGCTCTACTGTACTAAAATGTCGTGAATTTTCGTTTTTCCTATGTTAAAAAACCGTATCTGAAGCGGAAATGTATGAAATCAAGCTTTCCTCGTATTTTTAACTGGATACGGGGTTTTTGTCTAGGAACTTCCAAATACGTGGTTTAAGCCTAGCAAGTCGACCTGTCGCCACCTGTCGTACGCAACGCGTGCAGGCGCAGGCGGTTTGATTAATATCAGTTTGCTGGTAACCTCCAAGTGGCACGTGGCGTGGCTTTACCCTAGGATCTCAATTTCGACCACAACGATTTTATAAAATCTAGAACAATGTGCTCATGGAGTAGCGGAAGCAGAGGAAAAAAGTTAGTTTCCCTGGCAACTATTTCTAAAGTTAATACAGTGAATTCAGAGGAAGAGCCTTGCTTAAGCGCTCAGAATTATTATTGTGATGAAGATGTACTACAGGATGTACAGATGGAAGAATTCATACCAAATACCAAGAGTTGCGTAATTGATAATGGATCGATGACTATTCGATACATGGATTCAGCTGATACTGTTGGTGAGTAAAACTAAAATTTGGCTACGCTAGTGCATATTTTAATTCCACTGACCGAATAGAAATCCTTCCATAATTGAAAATAACTACCATGCATAGATGTAATCTGTACTTTTACCTTGTTACTGGGCAATTGCCTTTTCAAAATCGGCAAAACCATATGTTTTGATCTGATGTTATAGTAATTGTTATACTTTGGTGATAGAACGAATCCACCGACATAAAGATAGGACCTGATTCAAAATAGCTCATTTTCAGATCCAGAACATCATTCCACAAATAAAGGATACTGCTTGCAAGATATATCTAACAATGTGATTGACAAGGAATCTTGGAATCTCAGAGATATTTTAAGTTACGGTGAGCACAGCATACTAGTTATTAAAAATACCAGCAACTACTGTTCGATAGACCGTCCTTTTGAGAGTGATAGCTTTTTTTCTACTTTTTAGTGGATGGTCAGGCAAATGTGGAAGTGGAAGAAAAAAATATTCAAAATATGGAAGACGATAGTCGTGGGGATGAGAATAGAAGGGAACCTATGAAAAATGATGCAAATCAAATAATAGAAGAAACAGAGATTGTAGAAGAGGAGAATGAAACTAAAGGGTATGAGGAAGCAGGTAAGCGTGTACTATCTACTACTACAGCAAGCATTATTGCACCTGTAAGGTATAATTTCAGATCCATATGAAACAGTTGAAGGCCACACAAAAAAAGGCGAAGAAAGAAAAAGAAAAAAATACAAACTGTCCAAGGAAGTGAGAGCTGAAACTAAGAAAAACAAGGTAATCTCGCTTCATAAGGACAGAGAAGGCTGTATAAACTGTAAGCTCAAATGTCGGACATTCTTTACCGAGGAGGAGAGAAACACCACAAACCACGAATTTTGGAAGTTGGACTGGAAGGGAAAACGAACATTTGTGATGAACTCGACAGAGAATAGAACACCAAAGAGAAAAGTAGAAGGTTCAAAGAAAAACAAGACATTCACATATTTTCTGAAGGATTCTAGTGGTACAACAAGACGTGTCTGTAAAATATTTTTCCTAACAACATTGGGATATAAAAAAACGAATGACTGGATAATCCATTCGGTGTGGGCAAATGCTAATAGCAAAAATCAGTTACAAAATGATTTAGACCGCCGAGGTAGGCATCCTCCTCCAAACAAGTTGTCTAATAAGATTATAGAAAGCCATATTGACTCATTTAATCCATCTGTATCTCACTATAGAAGAGTCCATGCTCCTAATCGTCTATATTTGCCGAGTGACTTGAATGTCACCCTTATGTTTGAAGACTTTAAAAAAAGATATCCCGATTACATTTGCTCCTATGAAAAATATAGAAAAATCCTCAAGGCGAAAAATATATCGTTCGCAAAATTAGGAAATGAGGAATGTGAACTCTGTGAGTCGTACCATATGCATAATTCCGAACATAAAGCTGAGTCCTTAAGTGATGATTGCGAGGTATGCTGCAGCTGGAAGGATCACATTATGAAAGCAAAAGAATCTCGTGAGAGATACTCACTAAATAAGGAAAACTGCAACAAAGACAAAGGAAATTTGTGCTTTTCTGTTGATCTTCAAAAAGTAATAATGTTGCCTAGGCTTGAAATGTTTAAAAAAGCGATCTTTGCTTCTCGCCTAATAGTTTACAATGAAAGTTTTGTGCCAGTTGGTAAAATTAGAGATTTTCCTCCATTTGCCGTATTGTGGCATGAAGGCATCAGCGGACGACACCAAGAAGATATTATTAGTGCCTTCAACGCATTTCTTCTTCACCACAGGGATGTCCGCAATATCACTCTATGGTTGGACAATTGTTCTAGCCAGAATAAAAACTGGGCATTATTCTCCTTTCTTGTTTATATTGTGAACTCAAGTATATCCGCTGAGACCATTCACTTGAACTATTTTGAACCAGGTCATACCTTTATGTCGGCGGATTCGTTCCACCACCAAGTAGAAGAATCACTAAAGCGTCAAGTCAAAACATATGATTTTGCAGACTTTGAGAAGGCAGTACAGTCCAGCAATAAGGGAAAGGTACAAATCAAATCCATGAAACTGAATGATTTTCAATTGTGGAAAAGTCTCCATTCAGTTAGTAAAATTAAGAAACAGGATCCCAGTTTTACTATGAGTAAAATAACGGAATTAATGGTAAAGAGGACTGAATTTGTGATGTACTACAAACGCAATTTTGAGGAAGAATGGAAGAAACTAGATTTTTTGTTAAAAAAACATATTGGTGAAATGCCAACAGCCCCAATAAAAACGGCACCAAATGGCTTTGAGCGTCAAAAAGTTGAAAACCTGCTTAAAGCGGTTGGTTCCATTATGCCAGGTAACAGGAAAGAATTTTGGGAGAAACTTCCAGAAAAAGTTATCTAGTAAGTGTTCCTTTATTATATTTAATGTGTTCACCATAAAATAAAGTAATTAAAAGCTGGTGTGTTACTAAATTCATTTTCATCTACCAAGTACCTCAATTCCCAACGACTGATATCAAAAATACGATTATTATGACAAATATAAATTTGATAATGTCCTAGAACAAATGCCCGTATTCGCCAAATACGGGGTTATTGCATAGGAAATTGGTGTAACAGAACTAAAAAAAATCCTCGTATGGCAATTTATACTTGTAAAAACAATCAAACAAGGTTGTTTATGTAGACCACATAATTTTAGAGCCCTTATTACTCAATATGGACATCAATTATTAATACCATGGACGTCCGTTAAAGCTACAAACAAAAAGAAACTTCAAATTGATATTGCGCCACTTTCCAATATTTCCGAATACGGGGGTTTAGCTTATGAGGGCAGTATAATTTTAATATAAACCAAGTAGGATATGAGTATGTGATGGTGATAGATTTGCTGTGCTTTTGGCTTGTTTACGTTTTGACAATCCATACACCCGCAAAGAAAGAAAAAAAGAGGATCCCACTGCTCCGATTTCAGAACTTTTTGAACAATTTATTCATAACTGTCAAAGTGTTTATACAATCGGTTCCTCGGCGTGCATCGATGAAATGTTGGTGAGTTTTTGTGGACGATGTAGTTTTAGAATTTACATGCCTAACAAGCCAGACAAGTATGGCATCAAATTGTTGTGCTTAGTAGATGCAAGAAATGACTATTTATATAATAGTTATATACATTGCGGTAAAAACTTAGATGGAATAGGACTATCAGAAGAGGAAAGAAAATTATCCATTCCAACGAAATCCGTACTTAGGCTTTCACATCCGTTGTTTCATACTAATCGTAACATAACAGCTGATAATTGGTTTTCTTCAATTCAGTTGGTTGAAACTCTAAAACAAAATGGTCTGAAATACGTAGGAACTTTGAAGAAGAACAAACGGGAAATCCCATGTGAATTTCAACCCAATAGAAAAAGGGAAGTGGGGACTACTTTGTATGGTTTTACAAAAGAAATGATATCCTTCTGCGGAAAGAAAGGAAAGTCGACCATTCTGCTTTCCTCTATGCACCACCAAAAAGAGACTGACCTTACTATAGGAAAACCTGAAATAGTATCCTTTTATAACCGAAATAAGTCGTCGTACACAAAGATCGCCCATGGCAATATTCTTCAGGATATTAGATGTTGCATGCACGAATGCGTATATACTTCACCAGTCCTATAGAGATAACCCGAATATCTCACAGAAATATATATTTCTGAAAGAGCTAGCAATGAAAATGGTTGCACCTCAACTTCAAAGGAGAGAGTCAAATCCCTGTATAAC